CCTCAGGCTGGCAACGTGGCAAGTCATTTCCCATACTTATATAACTGTCCATCCCCGAATTCGTGAAGTGAATCCTGAACTGAACTATCAAACAAAAAGTTCAAAGACTCAAAGATCAAAACTTCCCACATTCAACTCAAGCTTAATGATCGACTGGGAGCTGTTTGACTTCCACCTGCAGCTCAACCCCTCGTACTGCGTCGTTCGCATTCAGCCGCTTCTGATACTGTCCGGGTGTCAAGAACTCCAGCTGGTCAGTCAGAACCTCGCAACAAACAACAAAGAAAAAAGACACACACAGCAACAAATCAAAAGCTAAGCACCTGAAACATGATAATCGCACAGTCGCACGGTTTGGTTCAATTGAAGATGGGTATCTCGGGATAGACTGATGAGCAAAGCAATCAAATAATCATTCGTTTGTGATTCGTGAACCATTAGAAAGTCCAGAGTCCATAGTTCACAAAAAGTGTACAATCACGACGTCACGTAAGTGGTGCCACATATATATATAATATATAACTGTATTTGTACATTGGACACAGTTAGTAATGTAACCATTCCAGTAAAATCCAGTGACCAAACAATCAGCAGAGTAACAAGTGAAATCTTCACAGGAGTAATGTCCACTGAAGCCTCAGTGGGCTTGTTCGTAGTCCCAGGAAGCCAGGCTGCAAGGACCAATGGATTGCTTGGACTTGGATTTGCTGCAGGGTGAATGTGGAACTTCACCCCTAAGATCGATCCCAAGCAAAGCGAATTTGTAGTTGCTACTGAAGAAACATGGCCCAGGAAAGGAAAGGCAATAAAGTCTGGACCATTCCCTTCAATCACGCCAACCAGCTCCTTCAACTTGTGGTAGAGAAGCCGCTGCCCATCAAGCTTCTTTGCGATTTTGGTGACTTTGGTCTTCGAACCTGTCGCAATGGCGGCCGCCTCTTCCTCTGCGTCACCAAAATTCCATATCACATACTTCTCTGCTTCCTCGATTTGAGTCTTGTAGTGATCCTGGTCCATGTTACGGTGACGGTGACAGCAATTAGATAGCCAATATGACTCACGAGATAACACAATGTCACATGTCAGAATTTAATGGACACAGAGACCATTGGAATCGTGGAAAGGCAATTGAATGGCTGAGCAAATTGAGCCCCAACCCCAACCCCCAAACCCTGGCCCAAAGGAACAACTCCAGGCGCATCTCCAAGAGTTTGAGGTCAAGAGAAGATACCTGCTCCTTGGACTGACCGAAAAGTGAGCGATAGTCTTCTGATGCTTCGATCATGCCCATTCCACAGAAAGACACCGTTCGCAAAGTCTCGCGTGCTGGGATTTCCACAACAGCGTCAGGACCTTCTTCTCCTTCTTCTTCTGCTTCATCTCCCTCTTTGCGATCCCGCTTCTCCACTCGCCCCGCCATTGCCGCCATTTCCATCTCTGACGTGAAGCCAGCCTTCTCGGGGCCAACGAAAGTCTTCAAGTAGCTGTAGGCTGCCTCTTGCGTTTTGCTGCTCAGAAGGTTGGCCCAGTTTGTTGCCCAAGAGTCTGGACCTAGGAACTGGCCAGAAACTTGATAACGGTGAGACTGAATATACCGTATACCAGCCCTCTGAACAGACTTATGCAAGCCAGTTCGCCCGTTCAATCTCATAGATCTAAGCAAAACACACACTGTTTGAGAAAAAGGGGCCCATGGGCCCATGGGCCATGTTCATGTTCACGTTCTCAAATTGTTAGAACATAGAATCGATTCAGACAAGGTGCTTTGCAAAACGTCAAAGCCCGGGATCAAGGCAACCACAGGGTGCGGTTTCGCAGCAACACCCACCGCTTCACTAGCAGCCTCAGGCTGAGCACCGCCACCCTCTGCCTTTGCCCGTTCTGCTTCAAACCTTGCCAAAGACAGCTTCTGAGAGTTGGTAACATCTACCTGTAAGGCTGTGACGAGGAAGTTGACACTGGAGTCAAGGAGGGTCTTCTTGAGTTTCATCAAATCTCGCAGCAAGGTCAGTGCATACAATGGGCGGATGTTGAGAAATCTCTCCAATGCGTCCTTCCTCTCCAAGAAGAACCGAGCAGATTCTCCAACAAACCCAATTCGCAATGCCCACACGTCACTCACATCAGCAGCGAAATTCACCCATGCTTGTGGAAGTGCATCAGACAAGCCTAGGAAAATCTTCTGCAGAATTTGTGCAAACGACCAATCAGCATTAAGCTCGCGATCCACAGCCAAAGTCTGCTTCACCTTGTGTGATTATCTTGAAGAAAGAACATAAGAACAAATATTAAACATATGTATATATTAATACATAAAGAGGCATTACATGATCAGATAGATCATTATTTTCTTTCGGCGCCTCCATTTCACATGAACTTCAATTTCAATGAATTAGAACAAATGGACCGGAAGAAAGAACAAGGTCTAGATTCAGGCACAGTCGCCATGGAGAAGGGACCATGATACTCCAGTGGCAAAGGAAGAACATCACGGACAAAGCTCTCCAATTCATTGAGCGACTGGCTCGTGGTTGCGATCTTGATTCGATCAATCGCTTTCAATTCATCGCTTTGGTCCATCAACTGCCCACTCCCAATGGAAACTGCT